AAAATATTTAATCTGCTTTTCATTAAAAAAAAAAGTGTACTTATGCTTTTATTAAAGTAGCAAATCATTAATTTTTTTATCACTTATTATAGAAGATTTATTGGACAAGAATATAGCGTGTAGTCATTTAAGAGCTTTTCAGCTCTATATAGAGAGCGTTCGCTCACAAAATGAGAAATGCAGATTCATTGCATGGCCTTGTCAACAAGGAGGAATATCCTATGTAAAAGGAACATGTTTCCCTATGGAATCAATGAATTGGAATCAAGAGATGGGTTATGCAGCTAATCGTGGACCATTGGGAAGCTATTATCTGGCGACTAAAGCCGAAACACCATTTTGCGGTATTAGAATATAAAAAAGATAATTATCTTTTTATTGGAATAAATGTCTATTGAAGCAGCGTAATATTGACATTAATTTTATTTATTAATACTGTTTATTAATACTAATTTATGTTAAATAGAATTCCATATACATATTATTTAAATATTATTATTATTATATATTATTATTAAACAAATAATTTCTTATATGCATTTATATAAAATTGCACAATTGTTGAAAAAGATTTTAGTAGTTAATTGTGCCAAATTAATGTTAAGGGATTTATTATTATGAAATTTAGAAAAAGTCCCTTGACATTAATTTTGTACAATTAATTGCTAAAATCTTTTTTAACAATTAATTGTGCAATTTTGTATAAATACATATAAAAAATTTGTCTAATAATATGTTTATATGAAATTCCATTTAATATAAGTTAATATATATTAATTTAATATTCTCGTAAATTTTAGGTAAACCAGTCAGGGCATCAATAATGACATCTGAAGATATGTTAAAAACATCTGGTACATTGTTCTTCAGAATCTTTCTTGCTAATTCTACAACGCTCTTCAAAATTCAATGCATGTAAGTCAAAATCACTTACATATAAAGATTATTTTAATTTAAGTAACTATCCTCATCGACAATTAAAATAAATGTCGCACGAATTTGAAAAGTTTTGAATTTGAAAAAGTTACGCAATTGATATTAGGTTTTGCAATTTTTATCGAAGATAGTGACTTAATTATATTTTCTAATAACAATACATATTTGCACAATGCATGCAGATAAATATTGTGTAACTTAAAAAAAGATGAACCTTCGAGTTTCATAAGCATTAATTTACATACCAAAACTATTAATTCTAAATATTATTCAAGATTGCCCAAACAAAGAAACGAACAAATGATATTTTATAACATTGCGGCGGTGGAGTTTGATGCGTTAACGGAAGATACTGCATCGATCACCGGTGTTATCTCATATCAGCACACTGCTAACAAAACAGAGGAGGATGTTGCACAAGATCCCGATGCAGACATAATACTTTTCAATAAACTAAGCCTGGAAGATCGTAAGGGTCATAGGTAAATATACATCATAATAATTTTGATTTGAAAAACTCGTTAGCTATTAAATTTATTTAAACAAAGAAAAGAGAATTAATTTTCTACCATGTTTCATGATTAAATTTATTTACATATTTAAATCAATTATAGACAATATAATTTAATCAGAATTCGGGAATTCTATTTATAATTTTATATGCTATAAAATATTGAACCAAAGAAATTATGTAAAATACACATAATTTTTTATATATAAATATATATTTATTGTATTTCATATAATTAATATTAAATAATTAATTTTTGAATTTATAAAATATATTTTTATAAATTTATAATTTTTATTAATAAATATGTATAATATATTTTATACATTTATTTATATGTACACATATACAAAAAATATATATTTGTAAATATATATTTACATACACTGAAAAAAAAATTACTAACTCTGAGTAAATATTTTTTTTAATAGTTCCAAGTACATTTATTTAGAGTAAATAAATATTTGTTCCATAAAAGAAAATGATACTTAAATCAAATTAATAATTCCTGTATCAAATATGTATGTTTACATTTAGTATTAGTAAATATTTACTTAAAACTTATTTTAAAAAATATTTATTTAAAAATCAATTCTTTTTTCTGTGTATACATTTAAAGTATACAATATTTAAAAATTATAATTAGAATTTCATACTGAAATCTGATGCAAATTACAGATCGTCCAACATGAGCTTTATGCAATAAACTGAAATAAATTGCATACAATAATAGTTAATAAAATTCTTTTTTTATTGCCCAGGTGGGAATATTGCGGAACGAATACTGTAATTAATTCACAAGAGATACATATAGAATTGAAAAACACTGTATACCGTCGTAAAATATCTCTGCCATGATATAGCAATTTTATATTCGAATACAAGTCTGCATATTGGTCTGCCTGTACAAGTGACGTTTTAAAAAAAAAATCGCTAGTTTTCACTTGTTTTACAACACCTATTCCCCTCCCAAAAAGCGCATAGATTAATTTAATTTAACTGAATAACCTTTTTTCTGTTCTTGCCACAACATTGAGTATCAAATTCGAGTGCTTCATTCCGACAAATCGCGTGATTAAATTGTGACAAAAATTAATATAAGCATGCAGATGAGGTAATAAATTTACTTACTTTACTGACCCTTTGCGATCGTCGACGCCACCGATGCCGCATCTTTGCACCGCCATTTCGTCATTCTGGAGGCTCCAAACATTCGCTCGGCCAACACATGTTGATTTGAAAAATACGGTCCATTACCATGATATGAAAGTCATCCGGCGTTTTACACAACACTCTCGATGCTTATGACACGCACGATCTGCCATGAACGAATAAATAATGTGAAAAGATATGACAATTTGTCGCACACATCACACGCACACGACGCCTACCGAACTTGTAATGACTGGCGAGAAATTCAAAGTACGCGCGGACAACTTCACGCAGGTGTTTAAAATTAGCAACTTCATGCGAAGAAACTGCCTTTCTCATCGACGAAGGGCCGTCAATGTATTGTAGATAAAAAATCTCGTAATTTAAAATATTATAATAGATAAAAATATTAAATCGTTGAGATGAGGAAAGGATAACTAAGAACATTTTTGGCACATTCTGATAACGTAACAGAAATGCAGTCTTTTTTAATTCGGATCGTTGCGCACAGATGGCACCGATATAATTTTCCCACTCGCTCTCACGATACTTGGGTTAACTTGAGTAATGAGTGCTCTGCTGCTGTGCGTATCCTAACCTCAAAGTAACGGCAGCGAGCCAGCAAGTAAACAATAAAACTAATATAATAATAGAGAACGTAATGTTCGGATAACTAAATAAGATAACCCAATGTATCTAGTAGAGTAGATGCATATTATAATAGCGTGACCCAAGGTGCTCCTCGAAAATGAGCCATATCGTAATCGTACGTGCCTTCAAGCCGGGCGATGAGACCGGCTGCAGGAAATTAATCAGAGACTGTGTGATGTCGTCCCTAAGTGCCACGTTTTGCGGAATGTTATTCAAGGAGATAACATTTCAGTTGTTTATTCTATTGTCCGCGATAATGTTCATCTTTTTCGGGATGCCGTTAACTGTGTGCCTCTTGGTTGTACCTGTAGTCATAGCATTGATATATATTGGAACATACGTCACTTTCGCTGCAAAGCTAACGGAGATCAATGGAGAGGTGGCTAACATTCCGAGGTATTATATCATAGAGAGAGAGAGAGAGAGAGAGAGAGAGAGAGAGAGAGAGAGAGAGATCATTTATATATATAATTCTTGGAGCTAAACAAATCTATATTTATTCTTTTTAGCTAAAGTTCTTGCACTCATCTTTTCTCTTTTTCTTTCCAATGTGGAGGAAAAAAAAGAAAAATGAACTGTGCAAGAAATTCAGTTAAAAAGAACAGACCTTATAACATAATTGTTGGATCTGTTCTTTTTAGCTAAATTTCTTGAATGAGTTATTTTTCCTCTTTTTTTCCTCTAATGTAAAGAAAAAAGGAAGAAAGATTAACTATGCAGGAAGCTAAAAAAAACGGTATTGATACCAAGTTGTAAAATCTATTCAATTTATATTAATTAAAAGACATATTAATTTCAAGAAACCAGAGTGATTTATACAAAAAAGAATGAATACTTAGGAATATTTTGATAAGAATAATCCAAACTTGTTGATGTAGCATAAAGAAAATTGGCATTTTTGACAAAGAAATTTATAATTGAACGAATCTAATAAATTCACTGTCAGCTCCAAATTGTTAATGATATGAATTGTTAATGAATGTTATTCGAGACAATCTATTGTAACATTTCAATGTTTTTGTTCACAGGCTTTACATGTCAAACGCTTTCTCCTGTTTCTGGGTTGCCGAAGCGTTTGAGCCTTACCTGATGACACAACAGCCCAAGGAGGTACATTATACTGTAATGAGGGAAGAGCAATTTTATCAAGCCAAATTAGATGTCTCTTTACAAGCTAAGAAAATAGTAGGAACTGTCAGCTTAGGCAAGAGTTACAGGTTAGACAGAAGTGCATGGATAAAGAGGCTGTGCGTGCACGAGCGATATCGGAGAAAAGGTATAGCATCGTGCCTGCTCAACGATGCTGTACAATTTGCGATTGACGCAGGATATAGCTGTGCTAATATAGTAGCTTCCGAATACACAGAAGAGGGTAGAGAATTGTGCTTTAAAAAAGGATTTGAACTTAAACAAATGTATCACAAGTCTATCCTAGGATCGTATATAACAATATTAATGTATGAATTAACATATCAGATCAAACCAACGGAGGACGATTACTCACCTACGTTAGATTTTGAAAAAGCATTTTTAACTCAATTCTAATGATATTTTTATAGTAATGATATATTTTTATATGCTAATTGTAAGATAACGAATCTCTTGAAAAGCGAATGAGACTGATCAACTGTGTTCTCAGTTAAACAAAGTGCTTGAGCCAAATAGTGATCTACCTGAATGTTACGCTTAGTATTACCTAAATTTTAGATTTACTAACAACGGAGAGAAGGGTATTATTTTTTACGAAATGTTTGTTATGCATTCCATATATTGTTACATACTTCATAGAATTCTATAAATGATATATAAACAGTAGAAATAAAAATATATAGTTCTCATTTCTTCTTGAGGCCTTCTTTGTACATACGGACGTCTTTACCTTCCCAGTGATGATTTTTCGTTGACAGAAACCTAGAATAAACATTTTCATATCCCGGTTTGAAAGAATAAGCTGAAAAAAAGGTAAGATGCATTGCAATAGAAAAAACTTTAATGAAACTCACTTTTCTTTAATTTCTTTCAACACTGCCTTTTCTTTTTCCGTAATGCCATTTAGCGTCACATCCAGATTTATCTGCAGCTCCTTCATATTTTGTATTCCAACTAGATTGGTGTCCACATCCGTGCATTGCATGGAGTGCCATATCGCCAGTTTGCTGAGTTCTACGTCGCGATCCTGTGTTATTTTATAATGTTATTTTTTTCAGCAGGATTACAGCAACAGATAGCTTGATAGTCAAATACAATAGTTGCACTACAATACGTCTTTTTAATTGACGTCTATTGTTAACAAACCTTGCAGTATTGCGCGGCTTTCGCGCATTGTTTCTTCGTTTCGTCGGAGGCCGAATGCCAGCTTTGTGGCCCGTTATTCGTTAACAAACCCATACACAGTGCGGCGGCGTTAATTAAACCGATTTTATGCTTCTACAAGATAATTAATGAAATTGTCATGAAACTTGACGATATACGACATGAAATTACACACCTTAAAGAATGGAATGTATTCCAACAAAGAGTCATCGATGAGAGTATTTCTCGAATAACTCAATACAGTGGCTACAATGTTACTCTTTTCGACGCATTCTTTTAATGCAGACAATGTGTATGCAGTTACACCTACATGCCTTGCTTTGCCATCAGCCACGTATTTCGACAATTCCGGCAAAGTTTGTGTGACTATTACATCCGTTGTGGGTGCAAAGTCGATATCGTGAATCTGTAAATTTTATAATATCTGTAATTTTATTTTTTAAACGTTTAATTGTTTTATTAGATTTAATTTTATTTATGTGAAATGACAATGTGCAATTATACCTGAATAAGATCAACATAATCTAGTCCCAACAATTCTAAACTCTTTTTAAAACTCTGCCGAGTTTTCTCGACGGTGAAATTGAACATATTGTCATAATCTAACTCATATCTGCCAACTTTCGTCGAGATGTAATAAGCTTTGCGTGGAATCCCCTTTAAGGCCTATAATAAATAAATGCGAGATAAAACATCAATCATTCGATATATGAAAAAAAATTTCATAATCTTTTTAATAAATTTTTGCATACCTTGCCGAGTATTGCCTCAGATTGGCCTTGACCGTACCATGGTGCCGTATCAATATAATTAACGCCTTGTTTTATTGCCTGACGTACAGTTTCGATAGCCTCTGCTTCGTTACTGCAGTAATATAATTATGTAATAATTATTACATCATGTCGTTTATATAACACTCGCACGAATGATAAATAATTTTACTTTAAATTGTAAAGAGCACATAGCGTAGCGGAACCAAAAGCTAATTTGCTCACAAACATTCCTGTTTTCCCGAGCTCTTTGTATTCCATAGCTTTTACCGCTTCGGGATCGTGAAAACCCTCGATATAAGTAGGAGGAAACATATTTCTGAAAATATTACGATGAATAATGCGATAAAGGAAGATTGAAAATTGAAGTGATTTCCGAAGGCTCAATTTTCTATGTTAAGATTTTCTTTAACAATAAGTTAGAGACTTCTCTTGGGAAGATGGATATCTATATACTTTTTTCTGACATTGCTTGTATATAAAAATAACGATATATAATATATATATATATATATA